TTAAGAGCGGATATACACTGTCATTTTTCCTAAAAAATTGATAACACACCGAATCAAAACAAATTAAAAAAAACCAACAGATAGATTAGCTAAAGCTTTGGAAATTAGAAAAAAAATGTTACCGAAACAACAGTGAAAATTGCACGGGCTAACTAGTTTTCGGACTGGTAATTAAAAAATAGCTAGCATTTATAAAGTCATTGAAAAATAGCCACTATTTTGCCGCAACACAGAAAGTTCCAGCATATACTGGAGATTGGTACACCTGTGTATAAACTTCCAGCATATTATGCTGGAATATTTTTCGAATTTTGAACTGTGTTTTCGTTCAAATGTATTTGTACATGAAAAGTGACTAAATTTTAATTATTTTAGAAAGTATAACTATTTATCTGCCTATTTTTGAATTTCACCCGAAACAACACCCACTACACCTTAATCTTAAACCAGTTGAGATCATTCTCAAACGAGTCAATATCAATTATATCGATCCGCAGATATTCATGTCGCTCTATTTAAAGCTATATATTCACCCAGAACTGCTTAATAATTTAGGTTCTCTCGTATATGTTTCTTATTCAAACACTTCTTGGGAGAGGAAAAGGACAAATTCTGCCTCTGATCGAACAAACTAAAACTCGTGACACAGTGACGTTTAACAAAGACATTTATGCGGCTACTTTCATCGTATTATTAAAACGAACACCACCAAAAAGTGTGTGTTGGGCTAAACTAGCCTAAATACACTCTTAATATGGTATGATTGTCCGCTTTAAGTCAAGCCCGTACAGTTTTACCCGAAAGGCCTTACACCATTAAGAGATCTCTACACCTTATATGTAGACTCCTAATCTTTTTAGCTATCAATGTGAGACTTTGTTCGCACACCCAACAATCTCTCCCTCGAACTAAGTTCCACGTGGCCCACTATCACGATCCACGGGTCAATTTCCGGGATTACTGTATGCCACCCACATTATTAGAGTATTATGGCACCAGAAGCCTGCAACTAGCTTCTGCTTGTATGCGTGCGGCCCCGCACCATCATTCCGCCATCTTCATACTCGTCCCGCTGAAACTGGGTTCTGATACCAATTGTTGGAACATGCGCAACTGAAGCAAGCATATAAACCAGGCATCAAATACATGTAAACTAGAATGCTATTATCATACGATTAGAATCACTAACCTCTTGAAATCGTTGCATAGATCTTCCACACAGCAAGAATCCAGGGCTGCATTCTTCTGCTATATGCCTAATAAAACCTTGGACAATTTTGCTTTTGGGTGGGCAAGAACAATACAACTCTAAAAAGTGAGTTATTGGGTGAAGTTAGTCTTCCTTTTATAGAGTTATTTTTGGCCGAAATTATGCTCCAAAAACGTGTAGGATTCTGCTTTTACCAGTAGAATCCTACTCCAGCTCTACTAGATGACTTTTCTAGCAAGTCACTTTTTACCCAAGTCTTGTCAAGATTTTTATTAGGTATAGCAAGGACCATAAAAATAATAAGAGGCTACCAATTATAACATTAATTCGAAATTAGCATGAATTAATTCTTACTATAATTAATTGCAATTTATTCCACTAAAAAACTGCAATTAAACTCCTCAATATGAATTTTGAAAATTCAATAACACTTAGTTTAACTCCCCATGTTAAGATCTCAAATACCAGTTAATTAAATATGAAAATTTAATTTAATCAACTAATTAAATCCTTTACAATTTCGCTTAAACTATTTCATGTGACGGATACAAAATTCATCGGCCGGGTTTTCACATGAAAACTTAAAGCTTACATAAAGGGGTATCATCAAACTCAAAATCGAGTCATGGACTCTATCAACTAATTATTATTCACAAATGTTATTCGTTATTGTCCAATCTATTAGGCATACACTAACTTTAAATAGAGTCGTACCTTTTGATAAATTAAAACAATAAACAAATTACATTGATCATAATAATTATATCAAGATTAGGAGTATAAGCTCATTTAACGAATTAGAAAAAATATTTTATATATTCAGTACAAAAATATCTTTTCTCTACTTGATCCGTTACACTGAGTATACTAGTACAAGAAGTCGGAGTAAAACTACTCCCATAATCAAAACAAATTATACTGTAATCTTGTGCTACAATCATCAAGATATTTTGTCCAATAGTATCTTTGAATCAAGACAAATTATACTATAATCTTATGCTACAATCATCAAAATATTTTATCCAATAGTATCTTTGATTGTGAACATAGTTTATTAATTATGAGAACCAACAATTTAATCTTCTGTGCATGAGCTAAGACTCCATACACTAAATTGTCTATTACATAACTAAAAGGACACACATGTAACAAATGATCTATTTAAAATAATACTTTTTAAATTAAATAAATTAAATAAACAATTATTCCACAAAGAATATAATATTTCCGCACGATTAATAATATATCCCAACAGTGATTAATAGTATATCCCAACAGTGATGGGTTAATGAAATGGTTGCAATCCCCTTAATCAAAGACTTTGATCTTAGTAAAAACCCTGAAAATAAAAATCTTAATCTAACAAGAAGCACTTTATTACTCAATGCGAGACATTCGTCTCATTTTTCTCTCCTCTCTTCTTTTTGATCGGTGCACTTATAGTACATTCTGAATTTCATCCGTACAAGTAACTGCTGCTCTTCATAATTTTTCTAGGATTTCATTCATTCCATAAGTTAAGGCCCCTCATATTTTCAAATAAAATTGAGGCTTCAATTCCTATGTTACAATGTTGTGTTCACATGAGGCTTTGAAAAAATAACAATTCACATTTCCAACCGTATAACAACTACTACTTTAGTTCCAAATTGAGTTATATAGAAATCCTTATTGAACATGTTGCTCCATTTAATTTCATGTTAGACGAAGAAAGTAGAAATTTAGACGTGACTTCGACAAAACATTAATTACTTTGTCTTACTTAAATTAAGAAATAAGTGAGAAAAAAATGAAGAAAAGAGTAATTACAACTACAAAAGAAAAATTAAAGTTGCAACATGCAAATGCATAATACTAATTTAATAAGTACAAGTGGTAGAGCAAAATCATATTAGGTGACTTTAGAAGCACCAGGCCATAGACCATAGTAAAGCTCAATGCATAATAAGAACATTAATTACATAGCAGGTAAAGAAAAATCCAACAGAGGTCGCCGGAGCAAAGCCATCGCCGGCCACCAACGCCGGTGAAGGTGCAATGTTGTCCTCCGATCCAACGTCCTGAGCCACCGTCATCTTCAAGCAAATAACCGTCAAAATCATAAGAAGAAAAATATTGGAAACCCTAAGGCAAGCCATTGATGACATTTTGCTTTTCTTTCTTTTTGGGGTAGAAAGTGATGGAGATTTGGAGAAAGGCAATATGTTTATAGTGAAACAAAGTTTTGGAAGTTTATGGTTGTGTGATATTTTAGAGTGACAACAAAGAAGAGGTACAGATTCTGCTATTGCATGTATGCCATATGGCTAGGGGGAATTCTTGTTGGAGAAATGGGTGTCATATTATTATAGGGTAAGGTTTGACACGTTTTGCTAAATTATAAATCGAATTTATGCTTTATTCCCGTTTCAATATTGTTCTTCACAAAAGGCTCTCCCTACTGTGGAAATTGTACTTAATTGTTTCTTTTCTATTTTCGTTTGTACTTTGGTTGGTAGGATAAGCTAAGGGATAACAATTTCGGGATAATAAAATTATTTTATTTTAAATTTGGTTTAGTATTAATTAATTTGTACATGGTATTATTGATCTAGAGAAACCATCTACAAAGTCCCTATGAGGTTCTATGGAGATATTTGGAGACTAAAGGTGTTCTTGTAGCATAATAGGGTAATTAAGGACATGTACGATGAAGCTAAAACTCGGATGAAGATTATAGGAGGAGACTCAGAATATTTTCCTGTTGTGATGGGGTTGCACTATAGGGCTCATCTCTTAGCCCGTTCTTATCTGCCTTAACGATGGACACATTAACGCGCCATATTCAAGGGGAGGTGCCATGGTGTATGTTATTCGCGGATGAAATTGTACTGATTGACGAGACGCGATTCGGTCTTTTTTAGTATCTTGCTACTGTTATTGCTTGTTGCTACTGCTTTATTCTTCTTTCTTGAGTCGAGGGTCTATCGGAAACAACATCTCTATTTTTCTAGGGTAGGAATAAGGTCTGCGTACACACTACCCTCCCCAGATCCTACTTGTGGAATTCAACTGAATTTTTTATTTGTTATTGTTGTTATTCTTGTGTTAATTAATTTAATCAGGAACTATTTTATATTAAAATGATAGAATTATTTATCTCATAAATCAAAGAGGATGAATTGCTAATCGCATGGAATATCCGAACCCACAAGGTGAGGGTAGGACCGAAGGGGTATCGTCAGCAACTAGTGAAGGAAAAAATCGTTTTTAAATGGAAAAATTGGTGAAGGGGGTTTAGAAATAGGTAATTAGGAAAAATAAGTGTATGACCTGTATTTTAGCATAAAATTTATCATTCGATTATTGTTAATCAATATACATTTTATCTTAATTTATTATGTTACTAAAATAGATTAGAGGCCCCTATATTATTGGTATTTTTTTTCTGTGAATTATTTCACAGTTTTGATTTGCAAGATTAATGACAAGTGCTTGCGGATAGAAACTAATTCGCACCAAATAATTATGAAGAATTCTGTTCAATGCAATTCCAAAGAGTTCTTGAAAAACTTTTTTTTTTCTGGTCATCAATTTTTTTTGGAAAGTTTGTTTTTTTTTTTTTTTTTTTT